TCATCATTGGGTATGACTTTGCTTGGGAGATTGGTATCCCCGCATCCCCTGAGCGACGCTCTTGTGCATTATGCAGAAGACCCGACAGCAGCACCCTTATCCACTACCTCCTAAGATGTCCCCACACACAACGCTTCCGTGACGCCTGCTGGACCACCACTCACGACCCCCTGACGGAGACACGATGATCCTCCCCATACTGGCCAGATATTGTGTAAAAAACATTGATTATGTGTTAAAGGAATATCCTTCCTTCCTTAGGTTTTAGTCAGCCCCTTTATAATGTTTATGCTGTATATACTTGTCACACTTGCCAGATGCTTCTGGTGTCATTGTACAGGGGTACCTAGTGACAGCACTAGGATCCCGCTTCCTCTATCAAAGAATAAACAATTGAAATTGAAATTGAAAAATTGAAATACCTCTTGGTAACCTTCACCTCCGGCTGAAGTGTTTCGGGCGATTATAGTGGTCAGTTGCGTTTATCTGTATCTATCTGTGAAAGTACAGTATGTCTGGAGCAAAATTTGAGAACGAAAAGTAACTTCAGTATAATATTCGTAAGTAAGATATTCAGGGGTTCAAAATGACAGTTTGAAAAAGTAACACACAACGTGAATAGTCACCTTCATCGAGGGCTGTCGATAAACTACGCAGGGGAGGGTTAATAGATATTTCCGCTTCCAATACTGTACACATGGCAAATAACTTATTATTATTATTATTTTACGGGGAATAGCCCACCCGGGCACAGGTCATCGACCCACATCGGGGCCTAGGGGGCGAAAAAATATAATAAAATTAATTAAAAAATAGAAAAAGGAAAAGGTTATATTAATCTACACAATACGAAGATACCGGAAAACCAGCTTTTTTAAGTGAGACATCGTATGAGTATGGAAACACAGAAGAAGGCAGATCATTCCCCAGTTTGGCTGTGTGAGGAAAGAAGGTTGTACTACAACGGGTTATTATAGTGTGACCAACATCCACAGATATATGGTGGGCACCGCGGGCAAGACATGTGTTACGAGCCCACGGCCTTGCCGGCGGTACACAAGATGCCAAATCCACCGAACATTGCCCGTTAAAGTACTTGTAAAAGAGAGAGAGTGAAGCAACATTGCGGCGAAGAGAAAGGGAAGAAAATTTGTGAACTAAAGGAGGAGAGTTAATAAGACGAAATGCCTTTGATTCCACCCTATCTAACAGTTGGACAGTCTGAGATTGAAAGATTATATACCCAGAAACCCTTATAATAGTGTGCGTATACTGAACTAGGAAACCTATATTGTTAAAAGGAATTCATGATTAAATCATCACCTTGTTAAGTCGTTCGTGGAAAGTATTCACTGCCAGGAAATATGTGGGGTGCTGTTCTCGTATTTCTGAGAAGTGTGATCTGAGCTGGTTGTATTCCTGTGTGAGGTCTGATTCCCTGATTCCCCGAAGTCATCTTTCGGTCTGATTCTAAAAAATGAACATCTGTGTCCTGACCTCACGAGCGATTAGGATTAAGGTCTTTTTGGGCAGAGAACAATTTGAAATTGAAATTTTCAGTGTTGACCCTGTCACAGCTCAGCATCAGAGACCAATGTTTTTGGCGAGATGGGTCTCTCCTCCCGTTTTAGATGTATGGGAGTGTCTTCACACCTCAGGAGCATTAGACCACCACCTCGTGTTTCAAGAACATCAAAGTATTTTTCTATGTAGTTTTTACGGATACCACGTTTTCCTAACCTTGCATCAAACACTAATTTTTCTAAGTTTTATGAAGTCATTCGTTTTACTGCGTTGGGAGCGCCGTTCCTTGTTGACCGTCGTTAAACTTCTGTCTTTCAGTATTCTTCCCGGACCGAAAGTTTGGGGATACATAGCAATGATGCTGTCCGTCTGTCCGTCCGTCCGTCCGTCCATACGTCCGCCTGTCCGTCCGTTCGTGAGTCCGTCCGTGATAGATTTTGTTCCCACTCGGTAACTCGCCACAGACGTGATGGATTAATTTCAGGATTAGTGTGAGGGCGTAAATTATGGCGGGGTCTTACTGAGCAATACTGGATGTGTTGATAGTTCGGAGACTTCAGAGATCAAGCAAGTATTTCACATAATCACGATTGTCTTATTTTTTATTTCAACTTTTTCTTTATTTTTGGGAACTTTAGAAAATGACGATTGTTGAGGCATCCTACTTAAAATGTTTCATTATTTTTACGGTATATTAAAATTATTACCTGATTACCTGTTGTGTTGATGAAGGATGTAGTTTCTCCTGTTTTTATTGAAAGGTTAGCTCTCTGAGCTATAGACCTGACCTTTGTGAGTGTGTGTGTGTGTGTGTGTGTGTGTGTGTGTGTGTGTGTGTGTGTGTAAGCGATTAGCAAGACTGACGCCCGTATTATTAAACAACGTCTTCCCTAGAAGAGGGTCGTCGTGTTTCAACCCGAGTTTTAAACTAAATGAGTCCTGAAGGACACCGCAGTACAGTACTGAACGGTGTGGTGTGGCGGTAAGATTAACTAATTCCAATAAAAAAAAATAATAATATTGGAATTCGTTAATTTTACCGCCACACCACCCCGTTAAGTACAGTACTGTGGTGTCCTTCAGGACTCATTTAGTTTAAAACTCGGGTTGAAACACGACGACTAACGCCCGTATTATAATACGGGCGTTAGTCCTCGCGAACTCGCAAAAGTAATATAAACTCTCATTAGTCAAACAAGTCGAATGCTATTTTTCCATTACAGTAACTAAGGCAGTTGGTTACACGTGTATCTGAGTCACTCCAATAGCCGAGATATGAGCGATAGTTCAAGTATGCACCATTTTGCGATAGCACCTAACAGTGTGTGTGTGTATTAACGTACTTTTCAGTCAACTCACGCCCCCAGGAGGAGGCGTTGGAGACTTTTCATAATCCTGCATAAGCAAGGGCTCTTGGCAGAAGGATTGGTTACTCAGACAAGTGTTCTAAATTTATACAAATTTTTTGTAGACTTAAGAGTTTACATTCATCCTGAAACAAATTTGTTCGGGACCATAAGCGAAGTGAACCCTGCGCAGAAAGCCCATTGTTGGCGAGATTAATTTACAATGGGAGCCCATTATTCTCATTAAGTAATTGGAAACAGTCGAGGACTTAGTAGATCAAGCCTCTTACAGTGAGATCAGTTATTCATAAGTGTGTGTGTGTGTGTGTGTGTGTGTGTGTGTGTGTGTGTGTGTGTGTAATGGTCAGCATTCTCGCCTCGCAAGCGAGTGGACCCGGGTTCGATTCCCGGGCAGGGTGAAACTATGGGGCCAGTTTCTTTACGCCATTTGCCTCTGTCTACCCAGCAGTAATTGGGAACCTGGATGGTAATCGATTTGCGGATCGTGTACCGGGGTAATGGTTAGCCAGTGCAGTTGGCGAGTTGTCCGGTCTTCTCGGACTATTCCTTGACACTGGGTCACGCAACTCGTTAACTCAGGGTGTGGTTGTTGTGTTGGCAACAGCTTCTATAAAAACAAATTCACGCCTAGGTGGCCCTTGGGCCGGCCATCCTCATACACGAGGGGCAATCATTATTTTATGTGATGTGTGTGAATGTCTATGTATGTATGTACGTGAGTGTGTGTATATGTGTGTGTGTGTGTGTGTGTATGTGTGTGTAAATGTGTGTTACGCTTTGGATTTTTAGTGAATTTGAACGAATCTAATGTTCAGGTAATTTAGATTCATATTGTGACTTCCAGGATAACTTTATGATAATGACTCAGATGGTGATAAGTGTAGGTATCTGAGGTAATGGAAACATTGTAGTAATTGAACAAAAAATACATACTAATGAAAGAACAACAACTTAATCCTAACCTTACTGCACACCTGCAATATATCACCATACAACGCTGCGATACAGTCACCCAGTTACTTGAGCTGAGGAACTGTTTACTGATCTTCTGTAATCCACGACACTTATAAGCCACACAGACTGGCGGCCTCGAAATTTCTCACCAGCAACTTTGCTGGGTACATCCCTCCCTCACCCCACCTCCAGAAACACACAAACGAGGCAATTATTCGGTGGTCAGCACAAGAGAAAAAGAGCAACAAAAGTTATCCGAGGCTTTGTTATATTTCATACAAAGCTTACTCCTTCGTCTTATTCTTGAGCAACAGGAGCCTCCACAGGGATATCTCCTGTCAACTTAGAGGTCTTGGGGTTCGATTCCTGACTAGTTAGGTGTTGTTTATATATTGAAATCAAATCTACGTGTATATATATATATATATATATATATATATATATATATATATATATATATATATATATATATATATATATATATATATATATATATATATATATATATATATATATATATTACTTATAAATGAACAATACAGGGTCACATAACTCAACTGTTATTACACCGAATGTACTGTACTAATGTACCCTTTATATCTATCTATCATATGAATGATCATGATCAGCTAACGGCCCATAGCCTCTTCCAGGAATAAAACATAATGGTGTAATAAATATAACAGGTTGTTGGTTTAAAAAAAACTATTGTGTTAGTCACCTTTAGAATAGACACCGACTCCCCACCCTGAGCTACATAGTACAACCAGCATTCTGGTTATTATTTATTCTTACCAGACACTGTTGTTGGGAATGTTTTCTCATGCTTCCATAATAGGAGTCCTTAACAGCTGGAATTAAATTGAGAAATACTTTGAAGACACATTTAAGCATAAATTGTGCTTTTTAAACAACTAATTTAATATATTAGTAAATGAAGGCGACTCGCGGAAATAAAAAAAAAGGTGATGTTACAAACAATGAAGATATGCATCAGTAAATTATATTTGTGTATGAAGGACTGCAACATAGTTTAGCTTTGGCTGCAGGACTTCCCCCTCAATATCTGGATCAATACCAACCCTTGAAGATATTACTATAGATTTAGGATTAGACTCACATCCGTCACATGTAACCATAAGACTTATAACTTACCATGGTTGAGCGAAGACACAGAAGAGGCGGGCGTGACGCTGCCTACCCCGACGTGTGACGTTGACGAAGGCGGCGTCGGGGGTAACACCTGGCTGTTGGCGATAATGGGCACGGGGGATGCCCCAGAGGTCTTCGAGCTAGGAGTCGGCGACGTCCCTGGTGTTACCGATGTAAGCGTTGGCGTCATTCTTGGTGTTCTGGAGAGGGGCGTTGGGGGGAAGTATGGCTGCCATGGTGCTGCGCGGATTGACGTCGGCGTTCGTGGGCAGCTGAGTGACGTGGGTGTAGGTGAACGACTCAGGGATGTCGGTGTGGGAGGCAAATCTTGGGAGGTGGGCGTTGGTGGAAGGTTGTTATTGTTTGATGTGGAAGAGGGACTTGTTTGTTCTGGGAGAGGATTTGTTTGTTTTGTTGGGGGATTTATTTCTGTAAGCAAAGGATTAGTCGTTCTTGCCAGTTCTGGTGGTGGATTTACCTGTACTGGTTGTGGATTCCTCTGCGCTGGTGGTGAACTGGCCTGAGGTGGTGGGTAATCTGTTTGGGTTGGTGGATTTTCTTTATGGGTTGGTGTGACAACTACTGCGATTGGTAGAGACTCAGTCGATAGTGATGGGTTACTTGTCGATGTGGTTATTTGTGACGGATTTATCTCTGCTGGTGGGCATTCTGCCGACAGTGGTGAAGGATTCGTGGATTCTAATGGGGGATATGTCTGTGATAGCTGTAGGCTGGCCTGTTGTGGTTGAGGGTGTGTCCGTGGTGGGTGTAGACTGGCCTGTTCTGGTTGAGGATGTGTCTGTGGTTGTTGCAGACTGGCCTGTTCTGGTTGAGGATGTGTTTGCGGTTGTTTCAGATTGGCTTGTTCTGGTTGAGGATGTGTCTGCGGTTGTTGCATACTGGCCTGTTCTGGTTGGGGATGTATTTGCGGTGGTTGTAGACTGACTTGTGGTGGTGGGGGCCTACTTGCCAATGATGGGGGAAGAATTTTAGGTGTCGACGGAGGATATTTGTGTTGTGACACGGGTTTCCTGGTTATCGGTGGTGGATTGGTCGGTAGAGCTGGTGGACTTTTCAGTCTTGGTGATGGCTTTGTCGGTAAAGCCGTGGAGTTTGCAGATTCAGCTGGGGACTTTGTTGGTGTAGGAGGAAGAGGTCGTGCTGTTGTTAATACTGGAGGGATGTTAACCTTTGGGGGGCGTACTGCCTTTAGGGCTCTGTTGGGGTTGGCAAGAATGTGATTCGCATTTCGTGGGGATATCTCAGGGGTCACTCCACCAACCTCTGACAGCGTGGGAAGAATCTCTGGCATCACGGGCAGGAGATTTGCAACTTTTGACGGGCGATAACCCGCAGAGGGCCGATAACATGTAGTTGGCCTGAACGGAGGGCGAGGACCTGTTCTTGGAGGTCGGAACGATGAAGGGGGAGGACAGGGCTTGGGAGGTGGATATACGGGGAGGGGCATGGGGATAGGTAGAGCGTTGTGCTGCGCCAAGGCGTAGGATTTCCGTCGCCATTTGTTGTCCTCGATGTCGTCCAGTTCCTCTTGCGTCCGTACCATTGTGCGGCGCATGATGGTCACTGTCCCGGTGAAACTATATATTTACGACTTCAGTTCCCTCATAAATTATAACGCGGGTCACTTTACACTTTCCTAAAATAAGACGTAATTAGAAATGACATTATGAAGCCTATTGCAAGCTATTAGTTCTTAGTTATTCCAGGTAAGTCATAATTTGAATTACGTGTGTGTGTTGCTTTTTGCGGATTTTCTTTATACATACATTGTTTCCCTCGGGTTGTGTTGTGAGTATTGCTATTGGTAACGACACTCGTGTAGTACGGTTGTAAGGCGGGTGAATCCTTCACCATCCATCCGTGCGTGCGTGTGTGGGGGTAAAATGTGTTTCGTTGATTCATGTACAAGTGGGACGAATGTGATATGAGGTTGTATTGTTTCTACGTGCGAGCGTGTAAGTGTATGAATATTGCATAGTTTGAGTAAAAAGTTGTTTCCACGGCTCTTAACTAAATTTTCATTCCATAGCAAAAGAGCGCTTCAGATTTCATACACATACCCTTGTACAAGAGTTCTAGAATCTTTGGGACGCTCACTTTGGAAAGTTTCAACTGTATTGAGATTAAATTCCTTTCACCAAGTGTGTACCACTTTCTCAAGACAATGCCGTCGTTCCTTTTAGCGCAAGTAATATCTCTTTGAGAAACTGGAGCGAACAGACTCTCCGTTACGGTTGAGTTCCTACTTGAGGTGTACCGATGTATCGGTATCGCCGGTATTGGTCTGTTTTTGGAATATCGATATCGGTGGAATTTCGGCCGGTGTATATATATATATATATATATATATATATATATATATATATATATATATATATATATATATATATATATATCATGTAGATATATGATAAATGTGGATATATATATATATATATATATATATATATATATATATATATATATATATATAGTACCGTATATTACTGGTAAAAGGCGGTTACATTAAATTGAGTATACATTGTTTCCACTTTCAAGGAAATTTCCTTATTTTATGGAATTTTGGTGCTCACGAGGAACCTTGTACAGAAATGATAAATCTTACGAAATTCAGAGGAAATTAGGAGTTGGAAATAAAATAAAACCGAGTTTATTTTATTTTCTAATCAAAATATATAGAATCAAATAATGAAAACATCGAAAGAAAATATAATAATTCTGGCAAGTTCTTCCTGTTTCAAAGTCTAAACTGAGCTTCCCATTACTGCATATTCAGGTAGTATACAGAACAGGTTCGCACCAACACCAACTAAAATTAGTGCCTAAACACCACCGCTACCGCCTAACACCACCACTACCGCCTAACACCACCACTACTGCCCCAACACCACCACTACTGCCCCAACACCACCACTTGCCCCAACACCACCACTGCCCCAACACCACCACTACTGCCCCAACACCACCACTACTGCCCCACCACCACCAACACCACCACTACAACACCACCACTACTGCCCCAACACCACCACTACTGCCCCAACACCACCAATACTGCCCCAACACCACCACTACGCCCCACCACCACTACTGCCCCAACACCACCAATACTGCCCCAACACCACCACTATCCCAACACCACCACTGCCCCAACACCACCACTACTGCCCCAACACCACCACTACTGCCCCAACACGCCCCAACACCACCAATACCGCCCCAACACCACCAATACCGCCCCAACACCACCACTACCGTCCCAACACCACCACTACCGCCCCAACACCACCACTACTGCCCCAACACCACCACTACTGCCCCAACACCACCACTACTGCCCCAACATCAACACTCATACCCTGTATCAAAATGTTCACACATCCCTTTCATCCATTATCATATCTTAAAAGTGACGTAAGCATCTGATCTAACAACAGTTTTATACACTATAATGTTAACACAAAAGAGCTGGATGTACCTTGCGAGTATAGTAATAACCCTGACGAGGCGTATTGTTGCCCGTGGCTGCCTCTGGGTAACTGAAAACGTCTAAGCAGCTCTGGTCTCGTCTAAGATCTAATCTGATACAACATACGAGATATTACGATGCGATAAGATATACTCTCTTAACTTTTTACTTCACTATAACTTTTTGATGATGATTTAGTTATAATGTCTTTTGTGCAACTAATAAATTGAGATCAAAAGCTTTCGTTTGAGGGGGGGGGGTAACGAAGCTGCCATGATAAGCTTCCTCAGGCTGCTTTAACAAGTTTATATGTATTGCAAACTAAATCTAAACCGTTTAGCTATGGTATGACTTCTAGGTTCAAGTAAAGTTGTCATAACTTTATTATTCGAGGTCAATAAATGGTCTGCTATTTTCACTGTGTAACTCACGATCTCTTTAGGATTACAAAGACACATAACTAGCGGTATTAATAGCTGCTCTGGTGTAATAACTAATATTCTTGTTGGTGTTGATAGGCTAGAAACATCAACATCTAAATGGTCAGGCTATGGACAGACCTGTTTAAAACTAGAAACTACTACATTATCTGTGAGGACACTGACGCCGATCTGTACAGGGTAGAATATTATAACTTTCGGACTTTAAATCTCAGTTAAGAACAATCTAAGCCAACTAAAACTGTATCATTTATAATGTTTTCTCAGATTTGCTACATTGGTATAATCAGTTGCAATTTTTATTTAAAGAGTAGTCATGTTTATTAAACGGTGTTTATTAAATTAGTGGTTACTTTTATTTAATTAATTTTCCATCTTCATGAATCAGTTGTCACCTTTATTTAATTGCTATAAACAGTAAAAGTGGGTCTCATAGCCATGACTGCCCATTAGGGAGAGTGAAGGTACAGCAGACTGTGTACTAAGCCTTTGGTGCAAAAGGGGGCGAGGCAACCTGGCCAGCATTGCATTCAACCACCCATCCTTCCTTCACCTGCAAAGTTCGTTGCCTAATTACAGCTGGGTGGAGAGAAATCAGATCAGCTACCCTTAGTACAGGAGGCGGGCGTTGTATTCATCAGGCCACTTAACTCTAGATACGTTTTGTTTGTAGCGGCAGTGAGAAAATAAAATTAAGGTAAGCTCTGAGCTTTATCTACTGACAATTGCTGAGTAACCGAATACAATAAAGGTAAAGACTTGGTGTTATTTTGTTGGTGTTTTTGTGGTTCGGTTAAGTCAACCAATGACGTGCGTTGTTACATTCTCACGTACGAGGAATACTTACAGACATCGTTTTTGAATTCGCGTCTAACTTCTCAGGTGATCTGTGACTCCCTCCATCATGTGCTGCAATACAGGATGAAAATCCCACCCGACTAAATCCTACCCCAGAAAATCCCTCCTACATATTACACCAGACAAAATCCCATAGGAAAATTTTGGGACTAAATCTCACCATCAAAATCTCATGTCAGCAGTGTTGATTTAGATCTTAGGGTCATCATTATTATTTTGGCTTCGTGGTTTCGTTTTCAGGGATTTTATCCAATGGCTGAGTTTTGTCCATTAAGTTTTGTCCAGAGTGATTATGTCCTATACTCCTTCACAATATCTCCTGTGAACATTCATACGATAACTGAGAATGAAATCGCCCTTTGGGTGATTAATTATGTCATTGGGATGTACTGAAAGACGAATGAATAAATTATTGCCATGAGGTAGGTGTGCTAATGTTGTGTCAAAGTTTGCTTGTATCATGTTTTGAATGCATCCCGCCACCCAATTGCATACCCCTCCTGACCTGGCTGGTGGATGATCTTCACTCGTGAGGGATTTTTTTTACAATTGTAAATGTAGCGGTTGACCAATTCATTGTCACCCTTGAATAGAATTACCGATATGATTTTACAGCGTAAAAAAAACTGAATATGTATTGAAATCATGTTTTTTTTTAATAATTATCACTTAAAAAACTCTAGATTCCAACTGTTAGAAGTTAGCTTAATTTATGGCGGGTTTTTTCTAAAGAGCTTTGTCGTAAGATCAATTCTTCTCCTTACGGCTGTGAGAACGCATCCAACTTGCTCATTCTAGGGAGGGCAAAACAATGTTTTGCATGACGAAAGAAAAGGTTACATCACCACCACACCTCACTACACCTGCTACTACACCACCACCTCACTACACCACCACACCTCCCTACACCTGCTACAACCGGACAAAGTTGTTTATCACTGACAAACTTTTGCCTTCCATAGACATCAATAATCGCAAACAAACATCGGGCTGCTAACAAGATATCTACCCAGTAATGGACGTTTAGACTGTAAAAGCATCTAGCCAATATCAAACGTCAATCCTCTATTAGTTAATCTTTTCTCTAACGAAACTCTCGCCACTAACACACATTTACACTTTAATAAGACACATCTAAGAAACTCTCGCCATAAACAAACAACGAGTCTATACCATTAAGAAAACTATAGGCACTTACTCACCAATGGAGATTTTCACGCCACCTATCTTAGAGCAAATTTCAAACCTTTGACTACTAATTAACCACTAGTTACATCCACGCCACTAACCTTGAGCCACTTTCTAATATCTGACCACTAACCAACCTAACCTTTGGCCATTAACAAAGCATTAGCTGCTACTGCCCACCAAGTAGCCATTTCCCGTGTCATGTGACAGATGATTAGCCCTCTTCACCGGCACTACTTGACAGTGCCGTCGGGGACCTCCCTTTCAGGCTGTCATGTCAAGGGTGAGGGTGTTGTATGTGGTGGTGTGTGGGGTGAGGGCGTGGGTGGGGGTGTGTGGGTTGGGGATATGTGTGGGGTGAGGGCGTGGGTGGGGGTGTGTGGGGTGGGGATGTGTGTGGTGTGTGTGGGTGTACTGACACCAACTGTTGGACTGGCCATGTTACCTGTATGGACGCCAGTAGACTGCCAAAGCAGCTACTTTACAGTCACCTACCGAATAGTAAACGTAACGCTGGCGGGCAACTGAAAAGGTTTAAGGATAGTCTTAAGACAAACCTGAAAAAAAAGCCAAATCGACCCCCTCACCTGGGAGACGATTATTCAACACCGTAACGCTTGGAGGAGCACCACACGAGAAGGTGTCAATACTTTCGAGTTAGCCCGACTGCATAACGAGTCAGACAAGCCCCAACGCCAGAAAGACTCTGCCGTAGTCCCTCCCGCACTAGATGTAGCCCTCCACACGTGCAACATCTGTGGACGACCATGTCGGTCCCGTATCGGCCTCTCTAGTCACCTCAGAGCTCACCAACAAAAGTGACTTCCTTAATAACTCATATCATTGCCTCATAGCTGGATGATCGTCATAGTCGATTCCGAGTGACAGCAAAGTAGTCGTAGTAGTAGTAGCTAGAGTAGCTACTTATGTAGTAGGTTATTTAATTTTAAGGTAGTAAAATGGCGGCGAAGGTGTGGCTATTGGGGGAGGCTGAGGCCACGTTGGAAAAAAGTATATAGTAGTAGTAGTAGTAGTAGTGTGTGTGTGTGTGTGTGTGTGTGTGTGTGTGTGTGTGTGTGTGTGCGTGTGTAGTCAGCATTTCAGTGTGCGGTGATTATATGGTGAGTCTGTCAGCGTGTGTGTGGTGAGTGCGTTAATGTGTGTTTAGTCTACCAGTATGAGGTGATTGTATCAAAGTGAGATGAGTGTGCCAGTAGAAGTGATTGTGTGTGGTCAGTGTGCCTTTGTCGGGTGAGTATGTGAGGTATGGTGTGTCATTGTGCATCGGTGAGTGTGTGAGGATGTGGAGGGTGCATCATTGTATTACAGGTTATGGTGAGTGTGTGTGTGTGTGGCGAGTGTGTCAGAGTGCGGTGTGGTAGTTATTGTGTGGTGATTTTTTTTTTTGGTCAGTGTATGAGATGATTGATTCAGTGTTTGATGAGTGTGTTTGTGTATGGTTAATCTGTGTTAGAGACTCAGAATATTGTTAGTGTGTCAATGTTTGGGTAATTGTGTTTCAGCGGGTGTACAGTGTGGGGGAGTGTGTATAGGCAAGTATATCAACATACAATGAGTCCGTCTGTTTATTTATAAGTGTATTGAGGCCCTGAAAGTGTTTTTTTTCCCGTAAGTGTAGTGTTTATGACGGTGTGTTTAGGTATGTCAGATGACTCGACAGGACCTGTGTACTACAGTTTGTGGGCCTGGTGCGGGTGAAAGTTGAGCCGGGTGACGGTGTGGAGAACACTTAGCCTCGTCAGATTTCAATGTTGGGTCACCTGCTCTCTCTCTCTCTCTTAATATAGTCAAGTTTTAATTTACTTTCTCCTTTTCTATTTTCTCTCTCCTCCCTCCTCCATCACACCACGCCTCTGATTGTTTTTCTTCCCTTCTCCCCCCACCCAATCATTCTCACTCCCTAGCTCTTCTTCCCTCCTCTCTCATTCTTATACCCTCGCCTACTAACTATCCTTGCCTCTTCTTCCCTCATCGGCGCTTTGTTCTCTCCCTCTCTCTCTGTCCTTTTCTCTCTATCTCTTTACATTTCCACTTAAATTTCTCCCAAGTGCCGTCATACTGTTTTATTCATGACCTGTGACTTCTAGCTCAGACATAATTTACCTGTCTGGCATGCCAATTAACCCGCTTGACCACCTTCATACCTGTACTACCGACCTCTACCACATACTCTGCAGGAATTGTTAGATGTTTGACCATCAGCATTGAGTCTCGGTGATGTTAGGAGTACAATTTCAATTCGGCTGCACCAAGTGAAGACAAACTTATGCCATAGTCAAGGAAGTGTTGTGTCATTATTATCGTGTTCGTCATCGTGGTTGTTGTCGCTAGTATTTAATAAGAGGTATATATGTAATCATGTCCCCAGCTTGTATTGTATGAAGTGAAATATCGTTCTCTCCCTAAGGGCGAGCCTCGTCGACTCCATAATACCCCTGATTTTGGTCACGTCTTCCCCCATAACGCGAGAGATTAATAAGTGTCAGTACAGTACTTCTCGTCCAGTTGTCTTAAAATTTGGCAGGCAAGGCATTGTTTCTGTTACTACTTAAGTCTTCTGTAGGGATGACAGACCTCTTCTTCCCTCTTAATGGATAACAGCCTCTTTCCCCCCCCTTAATGGATAACAGCCTCTTTCCCCCTCTTAATGGATGACAGCCTCTTCCCCCCTCTTAATGGATGACAGCCTCTTCTTCTTTCTTAATGGATGACAGCCTCTTCCCCCTCTTAATGGATGACAGCCTTTTCGTCCCCCTTAATGGATGACAGCCTCTTCTCCCCCTCTTAATGGATGACAGACTCTTCCTCCCTCTTAATGGATGGCAGTCTCTTCCTCCCTCTTAATGGATGACAGTCTCTTTCCCCTTAATGGATGACAGCCTCTTGCCCCCTCTAATGGATGACAGTCTAAGCCTCCTCTTAATGGATGACAGTCTCTTCCTCCCTTAATGGCAGCCTCTTCCTCCTCTTAATGGATGACAGTCTCTTCCTCCCTCTTAATGGATGCCAGTATATTCCTCCCCTGTAATGGATGACAGTCTCTTCCTCCCCCTTAATGGATGACAGCCTATTCCTCCCTCTTAATGGATGACAGTCTCTTCCTCCCTCTTAATGGATGACAGCCTCTTCCCCCCTCTTAATGGAGGACAGCCTCTTCCTCCCCCTTAATGGATGACAGCCTATTCCTCCCTCTTGATAGATGACAGCCTCTTCCCCCCTATTAATGGATGACAGCCTCTTCCCCCTTCTTAATGGATGGCAGTCTCTTCCTTAATGAATGACAGCCTCTTCTCCCTCTTAATGGATGACAGCCTCATTCTCTTCCCTTTTATGTAGCCACTTTCCTTGTATCTATCACACTTGTCATTATTCTCCCCTAAGATACCATCCTTGGGGTAATTGGACAAGTGAGTCCCAAAAGTCCTTAATTACCCATTAGGATTGGGGTCTCATGTGACGTGCAAATCCTCCTCCCTCACCCTCCTTTACCCTACCCCTCACCTTCCTGCCCTATATATATATATATATATATATATATATATATATATATATATATATATATATATATATATATATATATATATATATATATATATATATTACTTTTTCCAACCCCAGGAAGTCCACGTTTCCCCCTTCCTCCCCTAACATCTTCATGCCTCTAGACCAAGTAATGATAACCGTCAAAAACACATTAAAAGCAGTATTTAAGTAGGCATTGTTAAGTGGTAATTATTTAGGTAACACTGAAGTACGTATTGTCTCCGTGGAACGGGGAAAACCTTCAACATTTAATGTACTGTGTTAAGGTTAGAGTGGCAGCCTTTCTCCATGTCTGCACTATATCTGTTTGTGTGTTCTTTAGCTTTGTTTACAGTTTAGCGAATGAAGTGGCATGTGCTTTTAAAGACGTATACACTCACAGTCACAACAAGCAGCAGCAGAAGAGGTGATCACTGATCATACTTATCATCTTTGAAAAACGCACGTGTTTATAAAGCTTCGAAATCGAAAGAAACTACAGTCACAGCATTAATTCTGAAGACACAGAAAATCTGTACTATTGAATTCTGTGCCTAACCAACACAACTTGCAGTCAACGCAACACAACACATTGGAACGCCCCTCAACGCACCTCCAACCTTCACTGAGTATTTTTGAGAACTGTTTGTGTTACAGCGGTAGATAAGGTGTGGTGTTTACAGTTGCCATCAACAAGGTTACCACAACGCAATTATTGTCTTTTCGTCAAGTAAGCTACATACGTTTAACAAAACACAGTGACAGACTAATGTACCGCTTATTTTATATTGGTAACGGCAAAGCGAGTTGTCAAGTGATACGATAATGTTAAATAATAACTTAAAATAGTTAAGGTGCTCGGCGACAGTGGCAGTACCAGCTATGACGTAAGCAGCCCGGTCAGTGTCAGGCAAACTCAACTAAGATTCTCTTATAACAGCAATAATACCACCAATAACAAAGACGATAATAATAAATTATATCAGTATTGATAATATTTGTTTGCAGAAGCGCTCTTCAAATGTGGAATTGCATATACTTTATAGATATTACATTATGGGATGTTGGTTGTACAGCGGTAAGGGGTGTACGGTGTATCTCACCAGTCAGTCAAAGGTTGGAGCCCTGTTGGCCCAGACACACTTGAGAAGGGTGTTATCCAGTGTGACCCTCACTACCAAATATCACAGGTTTTCTCTTGGCGCTCCGGTTACCCCCTGTACTAACACTGGGTAGACCAACCGCCCGAATAAGCTGATAAGTGGTGAAATGATGAATAAATGAATAAATAAAACAAAAAGTGAATCAATAAAAATAAAAGGCGAGTGAATTGCAGACAAACCTGACTGTAACAATGAATTGCACATACCTGACTGTAACAAAAGTTATCCTAATACTACACTTGCACGTGGTTTAAACTTGATGATGCACATTATTACTAAAAAAAAGAAGAGATTATATCAATAATTACTGATATAATAGTTCCAATGAAATGTGAAATTAAATTCCTTTACGACTTCCGCCGGACCCTCTACAAGAAGACAGGCTCGAAGGAATAGTGTAGAATCACTTGAACAGGTGTGAGTGCATCCCGGAACACCTGAGCGAACATCTGTATCACGTCCCCCACCACCACTGCCACCACCATTGCTACTATCATTATTTCCCCTACCACCACCACTAACACCACCAACACCATCACCGCTAACACCATCCCTTACTCCACTGCCACTGCTACAATCACTACTTCCCAGTTTCCCCACCACCACCGCTATCACCACTACTTCTTCCAACTACCACCTCTACCACCACTACTTCCCCCACCACCACCACAAGCGCTATAATTGTCTTCACCAATAAAACGACCACTTCTCCCTTACCATCGTTACAACTATGATAATTATCACCACTTCTATTATTGACTCTCCATCACCATAACCACTTACAATTGTCTCCACTACTACCTACCACCACCATCACCACCACCACAACGGTACAGCCATGACTATCACTACCCCCATTCTCAGCACTACCACTGTCATCGCTATCACCATAATCACCGCTACTTTCATTACCCCACTTCCGACGCTAGTGCCATTATCATCACTGTTCCCACCATCACCTCCCACACCAGCACCCTTCCATCATCACAAATATCACCATCATCACCACTATCGCTGAAATATACCACCACTACAATAACTACCACCACCACCACTACCACACACCGAGGGACTGAGTGACCTAGTTTATCACCTTACACTATTGACAGATATTGTTTGTTTGTTTGTTTGTTTGTCTGTCCTGTAACAACCAAACGTGTTCTCTTCTTGATACTGTACCACCAAGTAGATATTAATAAAACCCTGAAAACAAAAGACTCGGTAAAAAGTCACGATAAGTAAAAATATTGTTGCAATTAGTTATAAATGTCCTTAGTGTACATAGCACCCACATTTTAATTTTTCTCACATATTTTTTGTATCACAAATTGCTATGGCATCCGCGTTTTACGTAATGATTACTATTTATATTAAGTAAAGATTCTTCTCTTAAGAATCGTTAAGCTAAAGAGTCACTGTAATGTTTACATGATCGTTCCTTTAGTATTGTGTATATCTTTCCTCTGCTATAAAATATTGCTCTCCTTTATAATGTTAAAGTAGTAATTATTAGTATTATCAATATTAACATGTGGTCACCAAGTGTGCCAGTGAAATAAAGAGAGATGGGCTGGAGTAACTAAAGTAGTAGGAGGGAAGTGTGGTGGTGTCGGGTGATGGTGCGTGGGGCCCCCGGGAGGCCAGCACGGGCGGTCGTCCATAGAGCTGGACAGTGTAGCACTCTCTAACGAGAAGGATATGCCGTTTAACCTTGATTGTTGCTAATGGTGCATCAGGTAATACGGGCGTGACACACATGCCTCGACCAGACACACACATCACGGTGCTGACACTCTTGCTCGCACATACGCATGTAACTTTAGACAGTATAATATTATACAGTACGTATATTAATGCGATCACTTCACGTGTTTAGCTGCAGTGACACGAATAAACACAAGTGTGAATTTCTCTCTCTCTCTCTCTCACACACAAATGATGATATATATATATATATATATATATATATATATATATATATATATATATATATATATATATATATATATATATATATATATATATATATATATATATATATATATAAATATATATATATATATTTTTTTTTTCTTCTGAAATACATTTCATAGTTTGAGGGGGCACTCCTGAGACATAAATAGGGATAAATGACTCCGTGACCATAGTGTCAATACCCCGTAATTTCGGAGTTACAACACAAAATTGGGTAGGGGAGGACTGCAATAATAAGTCTATGGACATAAAACATAAAATACCAAGCTCTATCTAATGTAAGTGGTTACAGTCGAGTAGTTCTGTTGACAATCCACATGCAGTGACATGTTCTGTACAGCTGCCCACACTTACGCCTGGTATAGTTAGCGTTGCCAATCCTCTTTCTCCATGATGTGTTGAACCCATTTGGACGATCGTCTAAATGGGACGTAATCAGAGTAAGGGAGAGATTCCCGGAACAGCCCTAGGGAACCTCGCAATAGTAGCTCGGCAAAGGATGCTAAATATATTAACCATAAGCATTCCAACCCTATCTCTGAATGCAAGCCTTTCTTGCATTGTTTTAGTTTTAATACAGGTTACTTCTAACTTTTATACTACTTCGCAACTGATCGGCTTGTTAGCCGCTTGGGCGATCGGTCACGTCTCTGTTACGCACTGCTGGCAAGTACTGGGCATGCACCGGCTCCTGAATGTATCTGAACCTGCTCCAGTGCTTGTCAAGTCTGGTCTTGAAAGAGCTCACACTCGGTGCCGTCACAACACTCTTAAAATAGAACGCAAACTTTTTTTGAGAGAGAATTGTAAACTGTTGGAATAATCTGCCAGAGAGTATTGTGACAGCATCGATTATGAGCTCTTTCAAAACCATACTTGGCGCTGGTGCAGATACATCCTGGAGCCAGTACTTGCCAACAGTGCGTAACAGATACGTAACCGACCTCCCAAGCGGCTATCGAGCCGATCAGTGGCGAAGAGGATAAAAGTAAAAAGTCCTTGGATGCATCCAGCTAGCCGCTAGTCGGTAGCAGTGTGGCGAAATGTTGTGCACCGACATACTGTCGTGTTTAGTAATATGTCCTCAATCAGTGAATGTTGATATTTTAATGACAGCTGCTCATTATGAATATATCAATCAGTGCATTTTGTGTACGATTGCGGTCTTAATGAAAATGATTTGCTTTAAATACTTTGGATTTTGGGACCTAAAAAATGCCTCTATATGTGATTAAATTTCGAAACGACTAGGAATATAAAATTCCCCAAAATATGCTGGAACTCAGAGTAAAAAAAAAGAACAGTATTTTCTTTCATTTTTCTAAGTTATCCTTTCAAAATGAATATACATTTTCTCACTAAAGCATAATAGAAAACAAAAAAATTAGCACGAGAACTATTGTAAATAGAATTAAAAAATACGAGGAAGAGAGGTTGCATATTTACTATACTTTATCCTCTTCGCCATTGATTAACCTGTTAGCCGCCTGGGCGGTCGGCACATTTCTGTTACACACTTTTGGCAAGTCCAGGGTTCTAGATTGTATCTGTACCTGCGCCAGTGTAGGTCAAGTCTAGTCTTGCATGAGCTCGCATGCGTTCGGTGCCGTCACAACACTCTGACAGATTGTTCCAGGAGTTCACAATTCCCACTCCAAAAACGTTTGCCCTGACACTTTTCTGATCTTATGGCTTCACCAACGTTATGTGAACTCTAGTGGGGCGGGCGTCCACTAGTTTTCAGGTAATAACACTCGACTGAGTAGTGTTCTCTGAGGTATTTATAAACTTCCATTAAGTAATTATTCGTCCGCCTATAATATAAGCTAGACAAGTGTCCTTTGGACATTTTCAGTCATTTGGCAGTCTTTAATATATCTCGGGGACCAGACAGAGTGACAGTACTCCAAATGAAGAGCACAGACTAAGGAGAAGTACAAAACAAGGTATATATATATATATATATATATATATATGTATATATACAGAGGAGGGTGAGATCAAGTCCACAATAGTCAGGCATTAGGTAATGACCCTACCAATCTTCAAAAAGCACCGCAGCAGTCGGTAGCCAGGTCAGAGGGTAAGCTGACCCAACCTTCTCACCTGGTTACAAATCTTTCCTTGTGGTTATCAGCATATACCAGGATCTCGCGCACCCACAGTGATTTACTTGCATATATATATATATATATATATATATATATATATATATATATATATATATATATATATATATATATATATATATATATATACACAATGTGTGTGTGTGTAACCTAGGGTTCACGTCAGATTTAGGGAGCGGTCCACCGAGGGCAATCACTTCAGGTTGAAAATCCAGCCAGGGAGAAGGAGACGAACCAACAGCAGGGGTTCACTTGGATCTTGGGTTGTATATCGTAAAGTGCGTATTTTTCTCTCACAAGTCCAGGGTTCGAATCGCCTCTGGTTTAAATGTATGTCTGACGTAGCACGATTTCCTGTTTTCGCC